AGCTGAACACAGAAATGCATTATTGAGTTTTGAATATCTGTTAAATGTCACGGATTTATTAATGTGCTTAACTCTTATTTTTATGTTTGGTATGATATAATGACTGTAGAAATTATTTTCTTTTTTTGTATATGCGTTGCATTTTCAAATATTTGGTTGTACATCTTCTAAAAGAAAACATAATATTCTTTGGAATTCTGTGATCAAGTTCAACAATAAGTTTGAAGATATGCTGCTTTTTATTACCAGCAACAAATCACTGTTCACTTCTAGTCACCTGCAAAATTAGATACCTCCCCTCACAAGTCAAACATGACTTGTCACATCACACAAAGCACCAGCTTTTGTAGCAGTTCACATTAAAAGTTGCTGGTTTCCCTGGAAGTCGTGAGACATAAGCTGCTTTCAACTGAAAACTATAGAACTTAATTTAGAAAATAATTTTTTAATCAAAAACGAGTTTGGAATTTTACTTCATGTAGCAATAGATTTGGGGCAAAAAAGTCCTTCACAGAAACTTATTTTCCTACATACAATTAGGCCATTTTATAAAGTTATGTTGCTAGTTTATAATCACTGTTCAGCTTAAAATTTTTCATCAATGAGCTTTAACATTGTAGAGGATAACTTTACCATGCTCAATATCTACAATGTCAGTTTTTATCCAAGTGGAATAGCTCACAGACTTGTTCCTAAATTTTATGAGGTAATGTTTTATAATTAAAATTAATAATATATGGATTTGTATGGCATCTGCCAAAAGAAAGAAAAATACAGAGTATTTCAGTTATTGTGAAACACGAATGGGAATAATTTCATGCACTGACGAAATTCAGCTTGTTCTAAGGTGAATAATGACAGTTTAATGGTGCCTGGCTGTCCTAACAGTAAGAAACAGGCATCATCTATTTAAAATGGTGAGAGAGCTATTTAGGGTAAATGTGACAGAATTATTCTAAAACAGGGATTTACTCTCTGGTAAGTTCCATATATCCCATTTTGGGGGTATATGTATGCTTGTTGTTCCCTTAATACTGTCTGTTGCTCTAGGAGAGCAGGGTAGGTACTCATAGGTAGCATTGCTTGCTTTGGCTATTTAAGAGATGCCAGATGGCAACTGCTGGAAGGATGTTGTGAAGCTTAAATATCTTTTAAAGGGAAAAGTTGTTGAGTGGAATGAGTGGGCAAAACTGGCAAAGAATTTACCAGTCTTTTACCTATATAAGAAGCTTTATGGCTCACCACTGATAAAATCAATGAGGAAAATAATCTTGTCTTCCATCAGAATGTGCTTCTAAATTTAGACTATCTACAAATTAGTAGCAAAATGTCCTTTATATGACTCAAGGACAGAGCCAATGTGGAAACTTCACTCTTTTTCATCTTCTCATTAAGATGATGCTTTTACCAATTGAGGGATAGTATCTAAACTCTATCTGGGGGCTTTTAATATTATAGTCTACCAACTGCAAATTATGGTAAATTGTTTTGAAGAACGGTTTAGAAAATCAGTGTGGAAAAATATGCTGGATGAAGCAGTTTTGGGAAAGTTTTACCAAAAAAAATAAAAATAGTGTCTTTCAGAAATTAAAATACAACCATTTTAAGTAGGTTTTTTCTGCTAACAGTTTTGTGATGGCGTTGATGGGAACAAAAGTCTGAAAGTAGTCCAAAGTGTCAGGATTGCTAGTCTCCAAGGATCATGTTGATCCAGTGTTTCAGAGCTCAGTTGAACACAAATGATTATGTATTTTCTAGAGAGTCAGTGTTCTGCGCCTTTTTTTGTACTCTAGAATGTGACATTGACAGAGGAGGGGACCAAAGTGAATTAAATTGAGTTTTTCTTATTTGCAGGCTAATTTACATATGTAATGTATATTCTATGCAATAGTTACATAATCCTTGTCACCATTGTTTAACATCTTCATTTATGATCTGGATGATGGGGAAGAGTGCAACCTCAGCAAGTTTGCAGATGTTAGAAAACTGTGAAGGAGTGTTTCATACACCAGATAGGTATTCTTGAGAGGCTGGAGAAATGAGCTAACAGAAACCTCATGAAGTTCAATGATTAACTGAACCAAGAGAACAGAACTGATATAGTATAACTTCCCGTTTGGAATCTTTGTTCTAATTCTATGTATTGTGATGAAAATAAGTTGACTTTTCTAATACCCTCACAAGGTTTTAAATTTTAATGTAGCTATGCATAGAAATATGGCTGGTATTCTAATGGTTTGTTTCAGTTGTAAAATTTGTATCTTCTCTGATTGCATGATTTTTCAGCATATCATTTGGTTTGGATAAATGAAATATCAAACAACTGTTGCAACAGCACTGTTACTTCTAATTACACATTCAAAGAGTTTATTTTTTTAGAAACTATAAGAGCTCTACTTACTACCTATTTAATTCTAGGTTCTGTGGTCTTTGGAACTGGGCCATTGGATTTCAGAGGAACCATATGAGCTTTCGTCCAGCTTTCCTGCAGCTCCTGTAAGTTTAATGGTCCTTTAAGCTTCTGAACCTTCTTTTGTTTATCTGGGAAATTACTGGCCCTCTAAACAGGTTTTGGGAACAAGAAAGCCTACTAGAAAAAAATATTTTTTAAAGTAAATACTGTAAGGAGTTATTTTCTCCTTTGTCCACTACTTTTTGAAGTGTGTGCAAAAACTCTGGTATGCGTGGAAAATGCAAAAAAATGATCCACCAATTAACATCTGAATAAACCAGGATCTTATTGAAGTATAAATGTACTTTAATTTTATTTTTACCTGTGCTTGTATATAAAATGGAGAGGCATGCTATTGCCAAATAGAAAGATTTGCAGGTCCTGGACTCAATTTTTTTGGTCCAGAAATTTCTTGGCCAATGGAAAATTACTGTGGCCTTCTAGAACTGCTAAGTAGGAAAAAAATGAAGCATTTTTCCTGCCTGTAATGATCATTCTCAAATACTGAATCAGGAACAAGTGCAAAAGTGTGCATGTCAGGGGCATTGTGTACCTGTGCAGATCTGCGAGTATCAGTACTTCATATGTTCTAATTAATTAAACAGTAATTTTATTTTTGTTATAAATCAAGTGTTTACTGTTATTTCATTCCTTCTGAAATGTTTCCTCTCATTTCACTTTAGTGTTTGCAGTTGAAGCCATGCAATCCTCTTTAGATAAAATGTCATTTAAAAACATATTCACTCTAAAATTTCACGTTTGTGTTGATAAATTGCTCCATTTTCCCCCAAAATGAAAAAGTCTCATTAAACAGGTGATCTATTCAATATCTACATCAATATATTTGATCACTTTCCCAGAATAGTCATGAAAAAGTCTTAAGCTTTAGAAAGACTTGTTTTCAACAAATCAAAACTAGCCATGCAATATTAAATTATTTTTGTCATACAATGTTTTTTTCCAAAATAAATAAAATTAATGTGAACTGGAAGTTAACACTATTTTCCTCTGCCAAGTTGAGCATTCATACTCTGCCAGATTCCATCATGGTTTTTGAGAAGCTTTTTGGGGGTTGGTTTGTTTGGTTTTGTTGGCTTTTTTTTTCCTTGGTGTAGATTATTGGGGTGGATATGCTTAGTATCACAAATATTGGGAGCATTTTCTTTAGTTGTCTAATTAAAGGCAGCAAAGCAGGAAATGCAGGAATGTATACTCAGCATTTCTATTAGATTTCACAGGATCATAAAATATTTTAAATTAGCAGGGACCTCTGCAGGTTGCCTAATTCAACACTCTGCTCCAAGGGACTCGTCCAGTCCACCCTCATGGTAATGAGAGAATAAATTAAAAAGAAAATTTACATTTTCCAGTTCCAACTTGTATTTGCTGCATCTTGTCCCTGTCCCTTGTCTCACTGCAGTGCACCTCCCAGAAGAGTCTGGCTCTGTCTTCTCTGTGTCCTCGATCAGGCAGTTCTAGGCAGCAGTAAGGTCTCTCCTTCCCCTTCTCTCTCTAGCCTGAAAAATGCCAACTCTCTAGGCCTCTCTTTGTGTTGTGTACTTGGTATGCACAGCTCCTTTGCTACCTCCTTTACTACTTGCTCTCTAAGACATTTCTTAGGAATTCATGAAAGCAATTTTATGACATATTTTGTTTTAGTTTGGGATTCATATATCCTTACAAGTTTGCTATGAAAAACAATAAAATATTAAACAGTAATTTTAAGTACACTATTTTTGCAAGTCTTCAGACAATGACTGTTAATTTACATTCTTTAGATTTATCTAAAATCAGATCATGAAGTAACATTAGAAATATTTTTTTGTATCTGCTATCCTTTAGTAATGATAACACATTTTTAGTGAAGAATGGTGGTGGTGTGAGTGGTGGGGTTCTCTGACAGCAGCTTTAATGACTGTCAGTATAAAATGGAGAGTTTTCTTCCATCTTTCTCAAAATCATTTACTGTTTTCAAGATAGAATTATAGAATCATCAAGGTTGACAGAGACTGACAAGATCATCCAGTCCAACCATCAACCCAGTACTGCCACTGTAACCCCGAAACCACATCACCCGGTGCCAGATCCAGATGCCTCTTAAACACCTCCAGGGATGATGACTCCGCCACCTCCCTGGGCAACCTATTCCGATGCCTGGCCACTCTAACAGTGAAAATTTTTTCCTGACATCTAATCTGAGTCTCTCCTGTCTCAGTTTAAGGCCATTTCCTCTATTCCCCTCACTGCAGGTGCAGCAGTAGCCCACCTGGCTACAACCTCTGTTCAGGTAGTTGGAGAGAGTGATGAGGTCCCCCCTGAGCCTCCTCTTCTCAAGACTAAACAATCCCAGCTCTCTCAGCTGTTCCTCATAAGACATGTTTTCTAGACCTTTAACGAGCCTTGTTGCCCTTTTTGTTAACTAAGCTTGCTGAAATTTTTTGCCTGAGGATTTTGTCTTGTTTTGGGCTATGTTCTTGCATTTTAACTAGTTCAGTCATCTGCTGAAAGTAAAGTTTTACAAAAATAATACTTTAAGGCTAAGAATAAGCATGAGAAGTAAAAGCTAAACTTAATTTTGGGAAAAATCTCCATAAAATTATTTTGTGTGATTTATGAAGAAATATCTTCTCAGTCTGAACTGTAGTGTTTAGTACGCAATTTTAAGGCATATAGTAACAAAATGAGAAGGAGGAAAAAAAGCAAGGATCACCTAGTAAAGTAATTTATTCACATTGTGGCATACATTAAGGGCCTACCTACACAGAATTTTTAGGGAGAATTCCTAACCTTACTGAAAAAAAACAACAGTGTCACCTTTTAGATTACTTTCAGATTTTTGTTTCCTGTTTTTAAAATATAGTAATTTGTATCATAAGCATAATTTTAATTGTATCAAAGAACATGCATATGTTTTTCAGATAAGTTATTTTTACAAAACACATAGATATACTACAGCACCAGGTGATAAATGATTGTCATAGACAACTGGACATCTGGTGTTAATGCCGTTGTCTCAGTTTGTAGAATACTGATCAATTATTTTACAGGTAAATGACAAGGGAAGAAAAAAGGTACAATCTTCATAAAAATATAAAGAAATACATACTATATTGTAATTTATAGAGATTTTTGTAATTTAAAGATAGTTACTGTAATAGTAAAAACTGAAAGAAATGGTGGGTTTTGTACATGGTATTTCCCCAAGAATAAATGCAAACTATTCAAATGCTATTTTTCCTCTGTTAAATAACATAATATAGGCTATTGGAAAAAATCCCCAAATAAATGTAAGAATTGTTTAGGAGATTATGGAGGGAAAGAATGTATTCTCTGACTACAGTATTGAGCTAATTACAGGAAAGTATTTTTTTATATACATAAAGGGCGAACATGACACAGAAAGATAAAGATAAATAGTTCTAGATCTAGCTATGTGTTTTATATTAATGTTTAAAGTACAGTGGTGAGGCAAAACGCATATTTCTAAAACTATTTTAGGGTTTTTTTCACAGTTCCAGTTACTTACTAACACATACATAGCATAAATGATTGGTAAAACAGAGTCCTTGTCTGCCAGTTTCTTGGATGTTCTTTTTATTCAGTCATTCAGCCAAATCACTGTTATATCAAGTTGATGCTTTAGACTTTGTGTCTGGTTAAATAATATGAGCTTTAGCTAATCAAGGCTATTGGAATTCAGGAGTTATACTGAACTGACCCCTTTCAGAGGACTAGTGCATGTTTTCTGGGCTTGAAAAATGAGACAAGTTGCAGATGTGTGTTTATATGCTTGGCAAATTAAGTCTTTGAAGACTATACAATTCACATAATTCAAAAACATTTAGAAATCTGCTGGTCGTATCATCATAGTTGTAGCTTTGAGAGAGTATCCCGAACCCTTCCAGTAGTACCACTTGATCCCATTAAACTTGTTGTTGTTCTGTCGTAATGGATAATACATTCCATTGAGGTTAGAAGGACCACAAGCATCAAACCACCATCCTGCAAGACAGAAGACAAACATCAGCAGAAGTAATTTTCAAAATAGTATATAAGGTCACTTTGTTGTCCAGAAATGAGAAAGAAATCCAAGTCCAGTTTGTCATTCTTGTGATTTGGAAGTGTCGGTATAAAATACTTGCCTCAAAGTCAGGAAAGAAGTGTATTTTATGTATCAACTACATATTCTTGAAGCTTATGTAATACATTGTACTTTAAAATTGAGAAGGGAAGGTGTTCAATCAAGCTTAACAACATCAAACATTTTTGACAGTCTGAGGGCAGAACACGGACTATAATGATATCAAGTTGTGTTTGATTTTATTTACTCTGTGGTAAATTCCTGTTCTTCACAGATTTGAACTCAATTCTTTCTAGAGGGTTAATTCAGTTCTCTGTGCAGATCAGTTCAAAACCTTCTGAAACTTGGTAAGAAGGAAAAGGAAAAAAAGCAGCCCTCATTGTGTATCCTTATAGTCCTGACCTGTTAGTGGGTCATAAGGAAAATTTATTTTTATTAATATTATTTTTATACTTCTGTTATGATGGTGATAGTATATGTGTTCTGTTTTGCAGGGCAGTAATCCAATTATCCTTTTGGATAAACTGAAGCTGTCTTTTTTTTCTTGCAACTTGCCCTAGAGGAAAACAAACCGTTGCTTAAGAGATAACAGGAAGAGAAGTCAAATTTACAAAGAATTTGTTTACATTTCAGAATGCGGAATTTTAGATTAAAAAATTATAGAATTTGGTTGAAGATAAAAATATCACTTAGAACTCAAATAACTAGTAAACGATCATTAGAAAAATGTAGATATATTGGTGATGTATCTTTACCACTTCATAATTATATCAAAATATATTTAGAATTCGTGTTGCCTTCCGTAGCACGTGCAGTACACAGCAGCTTTTGGGGATTTTCTCCTCTGGGTAGTTAGGGAAAGAGTTTATGCCTAAAGAATCAGGAGCCATTTCACTGACGAGCTGGATGTCTGAAACAGGTTTTTTTCAGGGAGTTGTGACTGTTATTTCATTCCTTGGAGGAAGAATCTGCTGTCTTTCTGGTTAGTTCCACAATTACAGACTTTCTTGTAGCCCAGCTTTAGAGACTTTTTTCCCTCCACTTTTAACTTCTCTTGTTTTACTTTAACTAACCATTGTAAAATGATAAAGTACTTCATTTGGAGTCACCATACTAGTAGTCAAAATTTACTAATTCAAAATTATCACTGTTTATCTCGTAGACAATTTCACTGCCAATAAAAATAGGAAGACTGAAAAGCATAAAAACATTCCTACCTCCTGTTAACATTTGTGAACATTTGCAAATACATTTGTCATTGTCTGCATCCTTTGTGCTAAAATCATTTCCTGGTTGGCTTATACTGCTTATTTTGCCCGCTGTCCCAGTAAGTCCTTTAAGGTAAATCCTGTAGAAGTGAGAAATGGAAAAACAATTATTAAGTGGAAGTTGATGGTATCTGATCTGCAAAATAATGATGGAATACTTTGCAATAAATATCCTGTTCAAATAGTTAAGTTCTCTTCTGGCCAATGTACTGTTGTAAGCTGTTTTTCAGCATAATGTTTTCATATGAATAGAAATGGTCAGCACAATATTCTCATGAACAGCCTCCACATTTATAGAGATGATGTTCATGTCATCATATTAGAAGCAAATTAGAGCAAGTATATAATAACTCCTGGAATTTTTCTTGTAGATCATGTATTTCTTAATACTGAAATATACTGTTCTACTTTCATGCCACAGTAATAAAAATATTTTTTTATTAAGTTTAAAAGTTTAAAACAAAAATTTTGGTTCCCATATTGCTATTAACACAGCATAGCACTTTATCATGACAACTCTGCGTATATCAGAAATAATAGCATTATCTGGAGTATTAATTACAAGCTAGTGACTGGCATTTTAAAAGTTGCTCAGTGTTTCCCTTTCCACTTTCCTAATTATTCTTCCTTTTCACATCCCTCATAGATTTATTAGCATGAAATCATTGCAGGTATTTAAGTTTTCTTCAATTCCCTGGCAAGGTAAGCTTTCAGTGAGGCTGCTGCTGTGTTGGGATGTGCTTACACAGGTGCTGATGCAGTCGCAGTGGGGAGAGACAGAGCACCGAACTGGAAGGATTTGAACCCTCTACTCCCATAGTATCTCTTTGGTGGTTGCATTTCTGTATTGGATACCTCATGCTTCTCAGAGGCATTCTATTCGTTTAAGGAGGAGATCTGAATCTCTGAGGAGAATTGACTTGTCCCTTGGTCAATCTTTATCTTGCATGTAATTCTCTGCTTATGATAGAAGTTGTCTTTGGGAGTTTAACAGATTATTTTAACACATTTTATATTCCTTATTTGAAAACATATTGAATTAATGAATTTTTACTCATTTAGCTTTCAAAAGATCAGCTCATTACAGATTTCTCAAAAATGTCTTTTCAAAAAATTATTCTGTTATTTTCTTAAGGTGAGTTCAAAATTATGTAAGCCAATTTATAACATAAATTATATTAAAATTTCCAAGTATAATGTGTGCACCTAGGCTTGATCCTTAAATATAATTTGAAGTCTAATGTAAGCACAGTATTATTCATTTACTGTTATTAATAATTTTTTTAAAGTACATCTTAATATAAGAGAAGATAAGAGGCAGTGGATGGAAATCGAAATGAGAGGTTCTGACTAGGTATCAGGAAAAACTTTTTTTGCCACGAGGACAGACAAGCAGGTTGTGCAGTCTCCACTTCTGGAGGTTATCAAGACATAAGTGAAAAGCCCTGAGCAACCTGCTTTGACTTCTTAGCTTTGAGGTCAGAAAGTTTGATTCGAAGTCCATTCTGATCTCAGTTTTTCTGTAAAGAAATTTCAGTTTTATGGTCCAACCCATAGTCTTCCCAGCATTTGGAATGTATTAATCTTTTTTTATGTAATGGATCACAAATTCATAGAATGGTTTGGGTTGGAAGGGACTTTAAAGATCACCTAGTTCTAATCCACCTGCCACGGGCAGAGACACTTTCACTAAACCAGATTGCTCAAATCCCTGTCCAGCCTGGCCTAGAACACTGCCCTCCAGATGGGGCATCGAAAATACTCTTAATTGAATACTTTCTTTGTTTTTTTTTCTTTTTCATAATGTTAAATATATTCTTTAAACCACTCCATGTTATGATGCATTCCATGTTTGGTTGCATATTATAAGAAAGTTTCTTTTACCATCTTAGTTTTCAGTAGTTTTTATTTTTTAATATTGTAAATAGACAAGAGTAATGACCCAATTTGCAAAGGTTGCCTTTCTAAGTATTTTAAAGCATTACTTAAAAAAAAAAAATCTCTGCTGTAGATTCTGACTGCTTCCAGATGAAAAAATATTTACTTTGGAGCTGAGACAACTGTATACTACCAAGGCATTAAGATCTAATGTTTTGTAGGGGGCAGATGCTGATGGTTCAGACTTGCTTTGCTTGCATATAAGACTTGAGTTGCAATAACAGCATCAGTTCTCTCAGGTGTCAGACTGACTTTATTTACAACAAATAGCTGCTAGAAATTTTGGAGAAATTCACCTAAATGTAGGTTATTTTTCTGTCCAGTCACCTAAAGCTCCATGATTCTGTATGATTATTAAAGAGAAACATTTCATGGACCATGTAGTAGGAAAGCATCTGTTATACAATGGAGTCTCTAGCTTCTTCTCAAGCAAATCAAACAGTATCTACTGCATTTACAGAGAGCTGGGAGAATGAACTATGAACTGCCCATATATTTCAGCTGTGGATGATATTATTTCAAAATATATAATACTATGATACTACTAAAAGTGTATAATATTATGATAGTATTTATATAAAAAGTATTTCTTTAATATTTATATTATTTCTTATTCTAACTAAGATGTAAGAAGAAATTATGAAGCTTTACATTTGAAGCTTTACATTTAAGGATGATGGGAGCATAATTAATAGGTCCATTAAAATCTGGTGTGCACTAGTAAAATACACATTTTCTCCTTTGGAAAAAGAAATAATTTTTTTTAGGCAATAGGTAAAAAATGGAGCAAGCATTATTTTCTGAGTGAAATGGAAAACAGTCAAGATTTGTACAAAATAAGTTCATGCATCTACCCAGTTTAGAATTATTACTATCAGAGCTTTGTTTTATTCAAGTCTGATTTTTCTGCTTACCTGTATTTTAGTTCTTCACTTGCTAGAGAGAAGTGGTCATACAATGAATACGCCTCATTTCCTTCCCAGTCTTTCAGGTGTATTTTAAGAACATAACGCTTCTGATTAGTCAATTGAGAAACGAACTCATTCCCCAGCCAGTATTCCCCAGCAGGATCACCAAATCCCTGTAATTCAAGGTATATATTTTAAACTATATGTTATATTAAAGCTTTGTTTTGTTGAGGTTTTTTTTGTTTGCATTTGAAATTATCACTTTATCTGGTTTTAAGTTTAATAGTTTTCAAGTCTGTCAACTGAGAATTTTACTGTGTCTATGAGGGTTATTGGTCTGTAATATGTCAAAAAGTTAATTTCAGCAAAGACAAGCTCAGGAATCTGAAACAGTGAATCAGTATTACTTCATAGATTTGGAGCAGTTTCGACTGTTGCCACTAGAAACACAAATATAAATAACTCAAAAAATGTAGACATATGATGGAACAGTTGATTAAAGAAAAGTAAGGTTTCTCTTTAAAAACAAACATCACACTTGCTAGTCTGCTTAGACAAACAACTTATTGGACTCTGACATTTTCTAGATGAGCATCTAAGGACATAGACAACTTTTTAAAGTTGTTTACATTCTAAGGATGCTATTAATGTAACTTTAGTGTATTAGATTTCAGATAATAATAACTAATATTTAAGGCTTCAGAAAACATTGCTTACCATCTTGTACTCTTTCCATGTCCGGTGAAAGTCCACACTGCCATCTTCACGTCTCTGAATAACTGTCCAACCTCCTCCACCAGTTTCCATGTCACAGTAGGCCTGTCAGAGTAAGTATGTAACAATATAAGTCATAGCAAAACAAAACCAGAAAGGCAAGTTGTGCAAAATATGTGTTAAAAATGCAGGTTTTTCATAGCTGTCATACACATCGGTTGTGGTTGTCCACAAATAAATGTGATTCCTCTGTATATTCCTCTGTATCACACTTAACAGAATACAAATGACACCTTAAGAATAGCTGGTAGCTGCTGTTAAAGGAAGAAAAAAAAAAGGAATGTAATTTCTTATTCTATGCTTCCCTCTTGCACCGGTATTTTTGTGAGTTTCCTCGTGATATATTTTTTCTAAAAGATGTTTTCACTTCTCCATTTTTTTTTTGTGAGAGATCTGTTCAAGTTTCCCATGGCTTTTCAGAGTATACTGTCAAGTTCAGGCAGTGAGCAAACTGAAATATATTTTTATTTCCACAGTCATTGTTCAGTGCCTTTGCAAATGGTCTGACCCCAAAGTTAAATGTAAATGTAGAACAGTTATTATCTCAAACTTAAATCTTGAAGCCATGTTATACAGACTGCAATGGATATGTTATATTCTTGAACAAAAAAGTAACAACTATAAGATGTTTCCAAATATTCCTAAATCACCTTAATTTTACCAAGTCATTGCTAAAACTTTGAAAGGACTGACATGTAATAGCAGTTCACTGAACTCAGTTTTAGAATTCCCAATAAATGCATCTCTGGGACATAAAATTCAAGTTTATTGCTCAGTCAATCTCCTTCTAGATTAAATCACTACAGTGTCAGAGATGAAGGTGCCAGTGTATTGGGGAGATGCTGATGGAAAAAAAGTCTTTTGACAATTAACAGGAATTTTGGAGTAATCTTTGGGAGAAATAGGGGACAAATTAACAAGAAAATTTTGTAAATATGTGAATATCTAGTACAATTTTTCTTGAGAAAGGATTTGAAATTGTTGCATCTAATTCTGCTTTTCTGAAACTAACAGAACTTATAGCTAGATGTGTGAAGTTAGTAGAGCTAAGCTGGTGTAACTCAGTACAATGAAAGGCAAAGTGAAGTCAGGATCTGTTTAAATTGCATGTTAGTACCAATACTATCTTTAAGAAAAATATTAAATTGCTTGTACAAGTATTCCTGTCTGAAGAGTTCACAGTTAATGCTCTCTCATTTGTAAATTTAATTTTTTTTTACAACTTCCTGCCAAGATACTAAAGTTTTGAGTCTTCTTCAGAATTATTTCACATCTTTGAAAAGTTTTTATATTCTATTTTGAGTATTAAACTACATTAACTTCTAATCTGTATTCTAGATCTTTCATCTATTAAGTGAAGTTGCATCTTCCCATTTACAGCTGTGGAGCTAAGATTTGACTTCTTACACTTTGATAGGATATTTCATCTGTAGAGACTAATTAATTAAATGAATAAATAAATAAATAAATAAAAAACCTAGCCAAGCATCTCAGTATGAATTCGGATGTTTCCTTCCTTGTTTAAAAATTCTCTCAGTGGTCTTACTTATTACCTAATTTATTACTGCTGCTTGTCACAATGTGCCTATAGATGTCCCAGATCATGACTGAATGACACTGAACCTGTATGGCTTTTTCATCCTCTTCTTTGGGTCACTGGCTTATCAGTGTTAGCAGTTAGCAGATTTGAGCTCTTTGAACTGTTAAACATCCCGGAAATTCATTGAAAAAGCGTGACTTCAGAGAAGCCAGAATTTCCTTCTGTCCTATGGCAGTTTTATATGTGTCGTTTTAGGAAGTAGGGTGTACTCCTTACTAAATTTTCAATGTAGTTGGCTCTTTTAGGGTATGTGGATTGTACGTATGTGATACGCACACACACGTACATATTTATATAATTCAAACAGGGTATTTACAGTTCAAGCAGTGTCATATATACTGTTCAAAGGCATCAGACTTTTGAAGGGAAAGAAAGCCCTTACAGCTGGAAATATCAAATATATTAGTGTTTCAATAGGCTGTAGCACATTAGAAATCCAAATCAGATACTTTATTTTAAGCTTGTATCTAGACTCTTTGTTCAACATCAGAGAATCATAAGACATTCAATTTGAGATTTTTAGGAAAGATAAAATACATAAGGAAAAGAGTTGGATTAGGGATTACTTCTTAAAGTATATCATGTGAATGGAATTTAATTGAAAGCAGCAACTTTAATTTGTACTGATGTGTGTAATTTCTTACATCTCAAAGCCTGGTTTTTCTTTGTTTTTACTAACATCTTTATTTAATGACCAGTAAAAAATTGGTAACAGTATATAAATTAAATGTAGTAAAATAAAAATTATCTTGTAAAGGAAAGGCAGAAGATGTAAGAGATCAGTCTGTTTCAGAAAGCTAACTCATGAAGTTTAATCTACATGTATATGTGAAAACTAATTTCCACAGAGGGCTATGAGGAAGGATACGAAGAATGGGCTAAAGCAGATGCAGATACTTTTGTTAAGCATTGCTACAAGTTAAAAAGCTGATTTAACAGTGGTAAAATATCATTAGTTGTAGAGAAAGTTGTTGATTCTGAAGCTTCACCCCACTTGAAAGAACAATATAAGCAGTCTGATGGAGAACAGAACTGTTTCACCCTTCTTTGAAACATGGAGTTTTTAAGTATGTACAGTAGGAGCTCATGTATTAATTTACTTGAGCTGCAAGTCCAGTCGATATTGCTACTGTAGGCATGTTACATTCTATTTCCTTGATACCTATCATCTAAATTTTGATTCAGTTGGAATTATTACTTTGAAGAAATAAATGCCTTTAAATAGCAGTTTATTTTGTTCTAATGAGATTAAAATATTCTCAAACAGTGAATGACTGTGGATGTTCTACATAAAACATTCCTGCAACAGGCAGGAAAGTAAGCAAATGGTAAGACAACTAGCTGTTATAGGCACTGTAGGTTTGTTGGGATAAATGCTGGGGTACTGCAAATTTGTTCCCAAAGGGAAAAGCAACTAACTAGGAACTGAAGCACATAATAAGAAATTGGAGATGTCCATAAAAATCTCATATAGATTTTTTTTTCCAGTAGCGATTTTAAGAAGTTTATGTAAATTTGTGAGTATATTTCCACACCAAAAAAATTTCATGTCAGTCATCTCTAAGGCTTTCTTTTATCACTTATTACTAGAACAGAACTCTTCTGACCTTTCAACCTAGCCTAGGTTTTATATTCAAAAGGAAGACATGTAACATTTGATAAAACTAGTAAAAATAGATACCAAGATTAGACAGGCAGCAGGAGTCTTCAAACAGATGCCAAAAAGAATAAAGAGATTAGCCTCTCAAGTTACAACAAATTGGAATGGGGAATATTTGAAGTATCTTGTGAACTGTTTCAGTGCTTACAATTCTAGCAGCTGTAGCACTGTGAGAGGGTATTTGGGGTGTAAGTGTTTTCAGACGTACTTTATGAATGGTAAGGCTCAGGCTGAGTTATCAGGATGAAGATCCACTACAGTTTTTATGCTAAAGCAAGTGCAGTTCAATGATTTTGTACTCTGCTTTCTCTGTCTCCTAGAGATGTGACTAGATAAGAACTGCAGTCCGAGTTTCCTTGTTCTGGAAAAAATAACTACACACACTGTTTATAATTTAATTTACCCTTATACCAGGTACCAGTGAAAAGACAGATGATGAGACTTCTAAGATTCACAGAAAAAAAACCAAAATCATCTTACTTATTCTTACTGTATTGGTGAAGCTACACATATGATCTTTTTTAATGCTTGGCATTGGAAACAATGTGTATGTGTATTTTAGACATAAAGTCCATGGCATAAGGTCCTTTTGAAATTACTAGCTAGTTTCTTGGAAGGTTATGATAAACCATTTTGTTGGTGAATTCAACCTTGCCGAAATCACTTCCTGCGAGAAAGTTTTGGTTAAAAGGCCTTGGCTCTGAATGTGTGTCAGTTCTGGGACAAAAATTCAGCTAAACATGGGTGGAAATGGGAAAGACCTTAGCCACTGTTTCAGTCACTATTTTAAGCTTTGGAGTAATACATTGGTAACAGTTTTATGTACTCTGCCTGGTTAAAACCAGGAGGTTAATTGGTTCATGCAGTTGCTGTAAACATGAAACTATTCACTTTTCTTGGGTTTGCTTCTGCCATTTTTCCTTGTGTCAGCAGTCTTTTGCTGTTTTTCCTCAGTGTTTTTAAAAGGACTTAGCTTTTGTCCTGGTGCAGAACAGGAAAGCTTGAAAATATTAATGGAATTAAATAATTGTTTTCCTCTCAACTCTCATATGCAGTTCCTTAGTTTTGGATTATGATGGGAGACAAATTAGTAAAGTGGGATCAGTTACAGATTACACAGGAGTTGTTTATAAGCCCATTGAGAGGTCAGAAGGTGTTACAAGAGGAAAAGATGAAAACATAAACAGCAGTGCAGCACTTTTGGCAAATAAAAAAGGTCACTCTGTTTCCTGGTCTGAGTAGCCATCCACATCATAAACAGTTGAAAATGGTGTAACATGTTGATTATCCCTAAACCTTCACTTCCCTTGACAACTCCTCTATATTTGTATAAAAATCAACATCAGATTAAAACTTTTTAGTCTCTTATTTTCAATGTCATATGGTAAGTAAAACCTTCCCTGTCTTTTTTTATCTGAAGTGGACAGAATACAATTTAAATTCTTTAATATTATTAAATTACTGATTTAATACTAATTTAATTAAATTAGTACATTTTAACTACTTTTTAGCCTAGTCAGTTACCAAAATGGGTATTTATGTTAAGTTTTTTAAGCCTCCATGTTCAAATGTAAAGCATTTAGTATTTTATAGTCTATGAAATTTGTGATTTTACTTTTGAAAATGCAGTGTAAAGTTTACGACAGAAATTTTCATTCTGTAATATGCCCTGCACTTGCATCTGATTTTAGAAAATATGCATGCTCTGTATATTATATATGACAGTAAAATTAACACCAAAGAAGAACACTTGAGACAAGTAATAGTAAGAGATCCAAGGAATGTAAACCTTCCTGAAATGTCTAACAAAGACTGCTGCAATCTATTACTTCAGAGATGTAGTAGCTTGCATCTCCTTTAGCTTTTAAAATTGTGATTGTAGATATCTGTGCTATTTAAATACCATTCAGTTTTACTTTATGACATCTTATGTAACTAATTTTCTTGTGAAACAGATGTATTTAGACTAGAATATTTGACAAGAAAACTAACTTTTTTTTCCCCAAGAGAAGCAGACTGTGAATAATTTCTCTAGATTATATCTGCAAAAAATTGCAGGTTTTACCTATTGTATTTTATAGGTCTTACCCAAACAAATTTCTTATTTCCTTTAGCTGAGAGCTTTGTAAATGTAAAGATCACAGTCTGGCTTGGGCTAAATGAAGTTCTGGCACTTTAAAGACTAATCACTAGTGAATTTCATTTCTAAACCTTTGCTATCCAAGCTTGGGGAAAAAATGCTTTCTCTGTCTGGGTTTTACCAATTGCCTTTCTATATATGACTCATTTTTCTCTGTTTTTTTAAATTTTCTGTTAGTTTTTCTGATGTAATAAAGTAAAGCCTTTGGAATTCCATAAAATATTTCTTTTTTTTTTTTTTTTGTGTAAGGAAATGTCTACAGTAGAAATTAGAAAATAAAAACATCAGAAAATTATTTAGTGTTTTTCTAAGAAATAGATTAAGCATTTTTTTTTATATTGAAATGTCCTTTAGCCTGCTCATCTGTGTCTGAATAGTTAAAAACAAACATTCATCTTTTGAGCCCCATTCCTCCCAATGCTCACTACAGGTTTTGGTTCTTTATCCTCACAATCCACGTGTGACTTTTCTCCCTTTCACATTCTGTTGACTGTTTCAACTGACCTATACTATCTGAAGTTTTATCGTTTTATTTATTTCAGTAGATGGAGCATCTGTCAGGCATCCAGTGTTTCATCTACTGAATGCCATTTTTGGCTCAAGGTCTCTTCTATAGAGCTATGGCGTATGGCTTTAACTGAGGTTGATGCTGAAGTTCATTTCAGTTAAACATAAGGGGAAAAACTATCCACAGAGGAATTTAAACTGATCTAGTGAAACCACTGCAAACTCACCTTTTATTTAAATCAGAGCAATATTTTCCAGAAAAATCCTCTCTGTTACCCAGGGTCAGTCGTGCTGATCTAATTGTTAATGCAAGTGTTATACAAATGTCCTTAAAACTCTGTCATGAGTATACATCCATGAGTAGTCTTCTGCGTCCCTGATTTTACCTCCTTTTGCCATGTGAAGGGACTTGGGCATGTGAAAGAACTAAGAATTTAAGAGGAGATAGGAGTCTGCAGATCATGCAAGAGCAACTCTGATGGAGTTACAGACTTTATAAAGAAATGTCAGTACATTATTGCTTTAGCTGCGTTAATTTTTCAGAAAAAAAAAGAATTAAATTCTGGCATGCTGACGCAAACAACAAAATGCTCATTAATTTTAAAGGAGCCAAGATTTCACCTGAAGGACTTTTTTCTTCCTGTTAGATATTCTGACTTAGGAGTGATGAAATGCTTATAAAAAGACCTTGGTAAGTAGTAAACTTCACTATTAACTAGCCTTCAAAATAGCATATTTGCCAGATCAAATAACTTTTAACATCCAGTATGCCTAGGTAGCTCTTTATCCTACCTTCTTTTCTTGTGCCGTGTTTGAAACTGTTAAAGTGTAGATTCCATTTGTTGTCAGTCCAGATTTGAAAGCTTCAGCACAATCCTTGAAGCTGATTTGCTCCTCTTTAGCTATGAAGTTGTTTTTAGCTGTTAAAAATACAATTGAAATGAAGGCATTAAGAAGAGACAAATAAAAGTTACTAAGAAGCAATTTATGATGTAATCAGCGTAAAGCTTTGCAGCTCCAAAAGATATGCCTGGCCCTGAAAGAAATGACAGATCAAGATACTTATTATGTATGTTGTTACTTTGTATAATTTAGAGACATTATTCTGATAGAAGTCTGGTTGCTTGATAAGTTGAAAAATGCCAATACTTATGTTGAATAAGAAAGGATATTGCATGACATTCAGTTAAACAGTTTCTGCTTCCACTCATTGCCTTTGCTGGTCTCTTACGTGTATTACAACCTATGTGCTCATTAACTATTACTACATAAATACTTAACTAGCAAGTGATTATATTAAGAATCACTTTTGGGCAGTACTCTAATATTGTAAAATCCAATGTAAGAGTTAGGAAATCTTTTACAATACAGTAGATTGGTGGAACTACTCTTACAAAGATTTTAGATGTTTTTCTTTGCCCCTGTGCCTAGCAGGAACAAGTTTATATGTACCAAACTGAAGCTTGGCAGCTCAGCCCAACCCACTGAAGAGACATCCCTTCTGGAATTGATTTGTGCAAAAAATACATTTTCATATGTCTAAGCCTTCTTATTCTACAGAACAATCTAAGGTTCATCTTTTCGTTCAGTACTTTATAACTATGGAGGTTGGAATTTCCTGGCATTTTGCCTGCTGACTGATATTTCATATTTGAACCTTTTGGGGTTGGTTCCGTGTGTTTTCCCTTTTAATTAAATCTAAAAAGCACAGTCAGTTACTACAAAGGTTTAGGTGCCATATACATACATGTTTATATTACAGTTGCTTATTATGTTGGTTTTAGCTTGCTTATTCATTATTTACCTGTTTAAGTGTTTTGCCTTACATATAAAAATAACACGTTCGGTGTTTTAATTGCTTTTCCACACTCTATTGTTTGTATACTGTCTTAGAAGCTTTCCCTGCTAATTTTGTCTTTTTGGCAAACATTCATTATTTTTTCCACTCTGGGTTTAACAGTGCTGTAGCCAACATGACTTTGACTTGTTTACTTATTTGTGCACTAGCATAGCAGATAACATCAGCAGGAACATGTACAGCCTTGGTAATGGCATTTAAGGGGATAGCGTCAGTTATCAAGACAAAAAAACTTGGGATTTACTTTGTTTAGAAAAACCTACAACATCATATTATTTGGGATACTACTGAAAGTAAGGACTTCCAAACACTTTTCCTTTTCTGTGATCTAACTTGCAGTAATGTAACACAGACTACCTGTACTGTCTTCTATGGTGTAATGACAACTTTTAAAAATTTTTTCTGGTATTTAATTTTAAATCCTTTTTTAGGGGTTCTGTATGTGTGTATATTTTAAGCCCTGAGAACTTTATGGGCAAATGCGCCAGATTCTACAGTCTTTTCTATGGAACAACTATACCTTCTTAATTTGTCCAGGTACCATATCAGACATAAAATTCAAGGCAAGGAATGTTTAAATCTTGTGTAGCTATAACTTTGTGGTTTGTGTGGGGTTTTCTATGGAGCGTGTGAACCTGCACAAATTTGGAAGCTATGCTCTGTGGCTGTAATTTGTTGCAGGGTTGTCAGGCAGTTAGGGGTGAGATTCTTGCCTATAAATTTGCTAGGCTGAGGGATTTTTAGGATGACCAAGGAAACTTCAGTGGAGGACTTTTGGGAGTACCTGTTGGCCTGGGCTGCTGCTTTCTGTTGTTGGGGGTAAAAACTATGCCTGTGCTGATTCCTTTGCCTTTAGCAGCCACTATAATTTGTCCTTTCTTTGATGAACTCTATGTGCATAAAGCAATGAGAGGTGGCAGAAACAACCTGTGTGAGCCAGGAAGAAATGTTGCAGACCTACATCATGCATTCTAACCTAGATTGGTCAATTGGTATATTGCCACACAAATGAATGCTATGTGAGATGAATGACACTTGGCATCTCTCTATTTTGTTGAACCACTGGAGAAGTGGGCAGGCAAAGCAATGTAAACCACAGGAGATGAACAAAATGTTGAAAAGAAACCACATAAATGATGTGTTTGTTTCCCCTACTCCCCTAAAAAGTAGGTTAATCAACTCAGGCAAAAAAATACAGACTTTTTGAGAAGCAGAAGTGTGACAAAACTAGGTGTAAGACTTTATAGGTAATAATGTACATAAATTAGAAAATAGCACAGAAATTATATAAGCATATCTGCTTTTACTTACAGTTTGGTGTAGATATCATAGTAAGCAAGTTATGAACAGTCTCCATCAGATCATGTTGTTGTTTTTGCAGAACTGAGTTGTTTACTGTAGCTGTAACTAACTGTTTTTCTAGTTCTTCTATAATAGAATTCTGTCTGGATACTAGGACTTGAAGCTGATCTTTTTCATCTTTTATTGACTTCAGCTGAAGTGTGTGCTTGTCTTCCATCTCAAGAACTCTTTTTTCTAGAAAGCTAAATAAAAGATTACAATTAGGCTCCCCAGAAACAATTTTGAACTGATGTCAACCCTGTTGTAGAAGTTTCTTTCTTCATAAGTACTCAATTTCATTCTCTGATGCCATATCTGCAGTATGTAACTAAATGAAAGTTTAGTTTCATACATATGCTTTAATTTATTATATAGGTACATTAATAAAAAACATTGTCTGCTATAGTCTGTATTGCAGGCTTTTTGGGTGTTTGATAATTCAGCATTATTAAAGATATAGTGACTAAGATTTCATGGATTTACCCTATTAAAAGATGAAACTTATTCTCATCTTCAAACAGATGAAACTGTGAACTTTTCAAACATCCTATAATTAAAATATATACTTAATATGAATAAATGTTATGGCATTAAGACAGGGAAACATGCAAATAGTTACTTGAAGATGTGTTAGCCACCTCCAGTTCTGGAGCTGGTATGATTAGGTCTCTGGATGGAACATTATTTCACTGCTAATTGTTCTGATGCAGACACTGAGAAAGCTGATGTTAAAAGGTGCATGACCAGAAGACAGAAGTTCACCTAAAATCCATTGTTATTATTGAAAAAAAAATCCTGAATCTTATGTTTCAAGCAGATTAGCTCAAAGTCACATTGCCTTTTGTTAGGTGAGAAACAATGCTTTTGTGTTTACATGGATGTTACAAGAGTAGTCTAAGATCTGCTGAGTTCAACACCAAAGAAAAGTGACCTTTAAAATTCAGTATTTTCTTCGCTTTCCATTTGATAAGGATGCTTGCTCTTCTTAAGCTGGTAGATAAACCTTTAGGGAGCATATGTAAGTGTAGTAGACTAGTGAACAAAAATGTCAAAACATGTCTCATGGGTTTTTTAAGCTAATTCTTTCAAAATAAAAAGCACTTTGCACATATGGTTCTCATCAAAAAACATGGTTTTGAAGGAGACAACTTACTGTTATTGCTGCTTTTAAATTTCTCTGTAAACTATTTATTGCCGAAAGTAAAATAAGACCCTGGTGATATGGAAACAAAACCAGCTGAAAAAAGGTATGAGCCTTTGGACCACAGCTGAGTACAGAAAAGGATAAGAATAACAGTTGGATATTGGTCTGAATTTCAAACATTGACTAGTAGGGAACATTGAATGTGATTAGTGTTTTATTTTTCTCATGTTAGAAAAAAATTGCGGCCATGACCCGGTTGTTCATTAGGATAGCTGTGTACTACATGGAAATAAAATTTTGGAGATGTGGTTGCACTCAATTAGTTTGAATCAGGTTACTGATAACTTCATCTTGATCAGTCTAAAGAAGAATATAAATTGGCTACAACTGACGTACTGAGAAGTCCTGCAGTTTTAGCCTTAAGTTCCTTAAATAAAGGAGAACTTTAAATAGTGAAAAATGATATATAAAGAGAATACGAGAAGAAACCTGCATGATCTGCTAGGCTTTAAATAATATATGTCCTTTGTAATGAGCATAGCTGGGTGTGGGGAGCTTGTGTACCAGGGTTTATTTTCCTACTTCAGTACATTTGTTTCTAAAACTATTAGGAGGGCACTTCAGGGAATAGCATCTCGTTGGGCTGATAGGCAAACTTACCTGTTTTTTTCTTGTAATTTTGTTATCTCATTGGTCTGATCTGAAATCTGTCTTTCAAGTTTGTTTGTTGAAAGAGAGTGTTCCAAAAGCTGAAGTTCAAGTCTGGTTGTCTGGTTTAATACCTAAATAAAATTTACAAAAAAAAATTGACAATTAAGATACTTCTCTTATATAAATTTTAATTTTGTTATGTTCTGAAATCATGCAAATCTCTTCTTAAGCTTATGATTAAAAATATATATTTTTCAACACTTAATGTGGGCACAAATGTTCATGGAATCAGAATGAAGAAGTTGCTCTAACACATAGTTGCTCTAATTTTATTATTACGTGGGAATATTTCAGTAGTCTGCTACATTTCTGATCAATGGATGAGAGTTACTGTGTACTTTAGCTTTGCTGTTATACCTTCCCCTCTGTTATGATAATTCTTACTTCATTACTGGAACTGTTATGCTTGTTGCTCAAAGAATGAGTTGAGTTGTTATCTCAGTCTGGTGTAGAAAGTATGTACTCTCTCACTTGCTGAAATCTTGGCCTAGTCCTAAAATCACTTGACAGTTCCCTCCTAGCTATTTTTCTCAATCCCAAATTATATTTCCAAATGTTTTTCATGTGAACCACACTTTTGTCAATTCATTCTTTCCATTTTAATGTTACCTTTTCTAAATGTATTGTTTACACTTTACTTGCATCTTTAAATCAAGAGATACAGATACTAGGAAACATGGAAGATAGTGTTCGGTCTGTGTGGGATTGCATTACTTTGAGGCATGTTTTCTAGAAATATTTTCTCATTGTTTTAGAACAGCTTTTTTTAATTCAACAGAATTTGGCTTTCCTTGACAGGAAGAATTGATTACTCATGTCCTTCATGTTAAACAGTCATTCAGGACATGATTTCACACTTAAGTGTAATTGAAAACTATTGCCAGAAGTAAGTGTCCTTGAGAGAGCAATTGTTTGGTTAATTTCCTTATGTTGCTAATTAAGCCTTAAACCCAGTCACCAGTAATTTCAAGCAGAGAAGGAAAGTTACAGTCAGGATTTTCTTCCTCTAAGCAGAAAATAATTGAGTAATTTCCATAAAGACATTACAGTGAATGAATAAATACATTCTCTCAACATGTGCAAAATATTAGGCTCCTGAATAATGCAATCAGAAAGTTAAATTCAGTACCTCTGTGAGCTATGAACTATCAGTTTATCAAAGAATTCACAAAGACTTGTTAAAAAGTGGAATTTTATTCATTGGATGAATTCTACAGATAGTAAAATGTCTAACAAGGATTTTAGATTTTGTATGCTATTTATATTATATAAAATGTTATGTGCTGCATGCTATATTCATTATGTGTTTTGGCAGTTATATGTCTGAATTTTCCCACCATGTCTGCAAAAATACAAATGCATGCCATTCTACATTGATTGGACTTGTCCTCCTATTAATATCTGCATTCTGTTTAACAGAATGTTAATGTTTTTCAATTAAACCATAATTAAAGATAAACCCTTTTTTTTTAAAGTAAGTTAGCAAGTAATATGTACAGCAGGCAGGTTTACTTCTGTGTGAATATGCTTTTCTAGAAGCCTTCTAATTTCTTTTTTCTTGATTTATCTCAGATTTGTTTATGTATCCCTCTGTTATCCATAATACAGTGCATTGTGCTGGAACCGCTTAGAGTATCTGTGAAAGCATTCATTAAAAAGACACATTTTTCTTGACAAGTTAAAAAAAATAGAAAAGTTTCAATTTTAAGAAGCAATGAACCTGGTAAATGGAGCAAAGGCAGTTTGAAGGAACTTTCTTTTAGCTAGTGGTGAATAATCAACAGAGATATACAATGAAGGTTGTATGAAAGCACACTAGGACCCAACTGATGCTTAGATATAGTATAGTAGTTTTAAGTACATTCTGTTTAAAGATTAATGTAACAGTTATCTTGCTGGACTTACTTCAAATCCTGCTGTAAAGGAAATCACTCAGGTGACAACACTGGGCTTGAGATGGAACTAGGTATTATCAAATACTAATGTATCCTTAGGCTGGGTGGAGCTCTTGGTGATAATGATTGACTTGTAATTGTTGAACTAAATAGTGTAACAATAAACGGTGTTAAATGTATAGTTGTAGTTTTTGGGAAGCAGAAGCATTTTTAGGTTGAAATTCATTACTTACTTGTGCTTCAACATCTGTTAATTTGCGGGTCTGTTCAGCTGTTTGATTTAGTAAGTTTGTGCCTATTTCAATCATTACTGCAGTCTGGTTCTGCACTGCAGTTTGCTGGATCTCTACCATTTCTTTCTTCATACTGTCTTGGATGTAATTCTCAAGCTACATGGGAAAGGAAAGAGAGAAGATAGTTGCATTCTTTAAAATGTTGGAAAGGGAGGTAGTACAGTAAACCTGCTTGCTGCCTTGCTGAACAAATTTGTTCCTTGTCCTTGTTATGTATTTATGTGAAGTTTCCCAATGTTAAGTTCGGTGAGAGGAAGGGCAAATGTGATAAGGAATGTGTGGCCACTCATTTTCTAAGGGAAGGAACAGAGATTTGCAGTGGTAGATAGAAGGTACAGTGGTAAGAATGCTTGTGGGCACTTGGAAGATTTTCTGCCTTAGTGCTCCCACTATTTTAACCATCAGAGGAGCTTCACCAGCTTTGGCAGCGATGGGAATTTTTTAGAAGACAAAAGTTTAAGAGTTTAGTCATCTTCCTGTATTTACAGTTAAATATTTTCAAAAGCATTTTTCGTCACATGACTAGTAGTCAGAGAAGAGGTCAGATGTCATTTAAAACTCTTACATGCACATTTTTGTCAGAGAGAATTTCAAATAAAGACATGAAACCATAGAAAAACCTATAAATACTTTAAATGCTTAGGATTTAGGAATGCAAAAGTTGTTTAAAATACTTGATTCTGAAGTAATTTCTGTAATTGGGCTTTTTTAGTAGTCATCTTATAACAGAGTACCCAGCTTTCAAGGAAAGCAAGGAGAAAATAAGTAGCAAGGATAAAATTAAAGTAACCTTATATATGTCTCCTTCCACCTGTCTGGATTATCAAAAAGCAGTCTGATTTTTGTCCACACTTCTTTAATATCATTTTCTCAGTAACATTGCTAATACTTCATATTTCTTTCATGGCTTATGTTTGAACTCAAACCATTGACTGGTGAAATTTCTAGAAATTTCTAGAATCAAAGTTCTACTTCAACACTGTTCTAACAAGAGAACCATAATAAATTTTGAACTTCATGCTGTACCCACAAAGAGGATACTAGCTAATAACAAATAGCTAATGTCACTAAGCACAAATTATAACACATGGCCAATTCCTAATCTAAGTAAAATGGTAAAACAGATTGATATCTTGAATTTTTGAAAATATTATTTTGATAATGCTATCTTGATATGAATGATGGCTTGTAGTAAGGAGAAACTTTAAACATTACTGCATGGCTACCTTCCATATCAGTGAGGAAAAACATCTTATGATTTCATATTCTATCAAACCATGGGGGGAAAAAAAGGACATACAGAGGAAAAAAAAAGAAAGAGTGAGACATCAAAGAGCTACTGTATGAGAAAGCATTGAAAATATTGCATCATCTTTAATTTAGAAAAAAAGGCCCACAAAAAGTAAAAAGAAAGACAGCAATGAATAGATCAACAAAGATAGACTGTTCATGAGCTTTGATTCTGTTATGAAATAGTTGTGGATATTAAAACTCAGTCTTCAAGGTTGATTCCTTTTTCACTAGAGATCAGAATGATCCTTTTTCACTAGAGATCAGATGAGAATCTCAGCAAAGTCATCTCCACATATAGGATTACAGAACTGCATGACTTCTTTGAAATTGTTATCACTGAGTTATTCCAAAACACACAACTAAAAAATGAGTTAATTCTGGGCTTAAAGGTAAGGTAAACATTTTGTGGTAGGCTTAGGGAATTGCCCATTTCAAACACACAGCTTTAAGGTTGCTCTGATTACAGTATGCAAAACCTGTGATTACAATTTAAGGCATCTGGTGGTTCTGGTTGCCAGATTTTTATACCCCTTGTCACCATGCTTGCAACCTTAGCAAGGAGTTGTTTAGACACACAGATCTGCATTTTCATAATTTATCTTATTTGAGTATCTGTAAGTATAAGCATATCTCCAAGTATCTGACCTCTTTCAAATAATCTCATTGATGTGGTGAATTCTAAATCATTGAAGTATTCTCTTGATTCCAGTTTAATGGTTACGTCTTCACATCTGTTTTTCAACTTAAAAATATTAAATAAGTAACTTAGGGAATATGGTATCTGTGCTTACTCAAAAGCACGAAATATGAACACCAAAAGGGATTTATATTAAGATTTAAAGCCAGTTTCATTATCTGACTTATTTATTCTAATTTAGAGTGACATGAAACATCAAAATTATATTGACCTATTAAGTGGCTTTGGAGCTTCTTGTGGTTTTTTTCCCTAAAAGTCCTACAAAGCATGATTACATAAATCCCTTCTGTTTTTTACTTCATATTCACCAGTCCTCTCCCACTTTTGTACATTCTCTGCATGTACATATCATAAAATCTCTTTTTCTGACCTGAACCAAGACACGCACTCATCTCTCTGCTTATATTCCACTCTCTCTTCATCATAAAATGCAAAACTGTAGAAAGCAGGACTTTTTACAACTATATTTCCTAATTTTTTTTAAGTGGCAGGTGCTTTCATCTCTCTTCAAAGAATGATGTTCATCCAAAATGCCCACCATCTCCCACTGACCTTAGTGAGAGCAGAATGTTCCAATTGCATACTCTCAGCAAGCAAGACCCTCAGCTTTCCCTGAGAGGGAGGTGGAAGAACATTTTAATTCAGGCTCCAGTTCCCACAACCACAGCTGAGCTTCATTGACAACACTGAGGATTAGCAGCCATTTCGCCAGACTGCAGTTCTTTGTGGCACATTTCTTTGTAGAGTACCATTCATCAGTTCCTGCAAAGGAGCCTCCTTCCTTTGTAAGCAGTAGCACACTCAGAAATTGCTGAAGGGAGAAGAATAGGCTGAGTCATTTAAAGGAGGGAAAGACACAGGAATGAATGCTGCCATCCCCATCTGTTAGTTGGGAAGTTTGGCAGTTTGGTTTGAACAGCATGTCTGTCATCTTCAATATTTTGCTCCAATTTGGAGGGTGCAGCAGCAATTATTGGCTAGATTTCTCCTTTGCCACGTAGCTAGTTATGGGAAGATAACTTTTAATCTCCTTTTAATTCAAATAATATTTGGCATATAAGAATTGTGTTGATATATCGTAACCTTGATTACATGATGGTTATTTCGGACAAAGAAATTATCAAAACCTAATAGCTGACTATTAGTGATGCATCTTCCTTCAGAAATTTTGTTTTTGAGGGAGTAAGTCAATCAATGAGTCCTAACTTAAGGCAATTACAGGGGAGAGGAAAAGAGGTATTAATACATTCACTTTTGAAAGAATGAATATTTGATAGCATTTCAGTGATTTTTTGTGGGATTTTTTTATAAAACATTCTATCTTTTGTGTAAGAAGTTGGCTTGCATGTATTTTGGAATAAAGTAAATATAAAAATGAAAGCACAGATGGGAATAAAACATGCCTCAAAGTATGTTTACATTGCCAAAAAGCTGGGAAAATTGAAATAATTTCACAGTTAAAATCTGTAACAGTTAAAGTGATGCATTTTTAGAGAGAAGAAATTCTCTAAGGTCATCACTTTGGGGCTGTGTTGTGGTTTATTACTTCAAATTATATAAAATCATAAAGTTTGATGAAAATACTTTAGCCAAGTTGCCAAAAAAACAAGGACAGGTCAATCATAGTGGAACACATTCCAACACATTGCTTTTATAGCCAAGACTGTCCTTTTTTAAGCAAGCTTTAAATTGACAAGAAAGAAAAGACGTGTAGAGTATGCACTAAAAGAAATTTGTTTTCTAACCATTGGCAGAGATAGTATTAATCCTTTATGAAGAATTGTCAATACTTATTCAAATGAAAAGCCTTCCTGACTGCTATCATATCGTTTGTGTACATATTGCAGAACAATTTTACAAAGAATCAGTGACTTATTTTTGCATTTCAAAGACGCTTTGAGTTACCAATTTTTTCATTTACAGTTACAAATGAGAGCTTGCTTTTGTTCTTTGCTGCCAAATGTTTAATCTGTACTAATTAAGCAGTCACGTTCCTGGCAGCATTTATAGCTACATGAATACATACATCACTTCTTTGCCAAATGCTACCCCATATAAATGGTACAAATAGTAGGGACTGCTTATTTTATTTTATAGAATTTGTCAGTTGTTGGAGCAGGCTTTCCAAATAAAGTTTGGTGATTTTCTTGATGTTTCTAATCTGATTCTGTCAACTGTAACGTTTATTTTCAGGGAGAGATAATGTTAAATATGAGTTTAATATTTAATATAGTACTGTGTCCTGTATGAACAGGTTATATTACAACACATATTGCATGTTTAGTCATGTAATGTAGATACAGAGAAAATTGCAGGGCTAATGACATAATGTGGTGGTTTTTCCTCTAACTTTTGTTTTGAATTTCCAAGAGTGGAGTAGATCCAGCAGAAAACCTAGCAACAGAAAATACAATGTTTACAGCTAGGCATTTTTTGAATGTGCATTTGAAGCTACAGTGTTTGACATATGTAGAAGCCTGGGCAGTAAGGCACAGACTGTCAACTGAGGGGGGGATCGAGACCATCAAAAGACCCTCAAAGTCCCCCAACCCATTTCTGTAAAAGTCCAGAAGAACGGATTGTGTGTGATAACTCATTTACGTGAAGAGTGAGAAACTTAATCCCAGGGTGGGGAAAACTCACCTATAAAAAGGTATCCCTCCAAATCCTGGGTGGCACCACAAGGACATTGGACACCTTCTCAGCTTTTCTTTGGTACTCTTATTATTAGAAGATAGGGGCAAACATATGCCAATTTCCACGCCAAGTGTGTAGTTTGTTAATAAAAATTTGTGAGCTTTTTTTTCTGAACCATTCTGGCTTTTGCCACTCTTTTACAGCCACAGGCATCTACAACTTTTAGGTGTTCTCTTCTGCATAGGAGTGAGATGTGATACATATATTAAATTGTCAAAAGCTTTGTGAGTTATTGTTCTCACATTCCTACTAAAAATGTCCTGTGCTTTATTCAAAATTTACCTTTGTGAATTTAAACCATAGGAACTTAATCAGCCCTTCCAATACCTGTGGTCATCATCCTTGGGGTATTTTATTCCTCAAGATGTTTGGTATATTCACAAAAGTGAGCAAGATGGAAAATGTACTT